CTTTATTTCATGCTAATCATTAATTATCTACAATAAATTTCAAATTAAATTACAAGCCACACTTTCAGTTTTTTACTTTATTATCTATAATTTCGTTTTTTTTTTAAAACTTTTTTCGAATTAATTAAAACATTTCTTTTATTTGTGAATTTGTTATAACCTGAAATTTTTAATGCTATAGCTTGAAAGTCTAAATCTACTGCTATAGCCTGAAAATAGTACTATAATATATGTCATATATGAAATTTACACTTATGATATTGCATTGTCTTTGAGATCATCTAAGTTAAATTATGAAGAAAAAAAATTATTGAACAAAATATGTAGTAAAGGATTTTTCATCAATTATTTCATGCTTACTTGAATCGGATGTACTATCTTCCTAAAATAGGAATCTAAATAAGATCTGTAGACACACCACCATTTTCAAATTTCACTTTAAAAATTATATGAGGTATATAGTTGTTGAATAATCATTTCAAGAAATAGCTCATATATATCATTTAGTTGTCATTTGTTTTTGAATTATACTTTCATCAAAGAAAGTAGTTGATTTTTATGAAATAAATATCAAAAACACACTTAAACTATTTTTTTTTAGTTTCATACCTAAACTATTGATAGTGTGAGTCTCATACCTAAATTATCACTTATTAGTTTGAGAAACACACTTCTCTCTTTAATAACACTCTCATCATGGTGTGTGTAATACACTCTTTCTTTTATTTAAAAAAAAATGTCAATCACACTCCACATGAACGAGAAAAACGTAAATAAAATAAATAAATTAGGAGCGGAGAGTTAAATAGGGTAGTGTAGAATTTTTATTTTTTTGAAAATAATATTAATTTTAATCCGCTAAATTTAACTTATATTGTCATGTTGTGTTTAGGTTCTTCCTACTTTTACCCTGGTCCATCGAGCTTTTAAATTTTCTAGTGTCTTTCCTTTTATTTTGCAGTATTCTACTTTTTAGAATTTTTTCTAAATTTTGAATTAGTGCACATTCAATCATATGTTAGTTTAAAAACCATCAAGATTCTTTAGAAAGATGTAAATATCGAGTTACTAATAATAGTGCATATTCAGAAGATAAATAAATGACATCGTCAATTTTTTTAGTTCATTTAATTCAATTTACTAGGTTAATCATTTATTTTAAAAAACAAATTATGAACCAATCAAATAAGTTTAGTGTAGTTTTAATCTCTTTAGAATTGACTTGAAAATAGTAAGAAAGAGATACAAAACATTAAGAAAGAATTCAATTAAATAGATTTTATTAAAAGAATATTCACAACTTTTAAAGTTTTCCATTTGATTAATCTTAATTTACTTTATTTTATATAATAATTTTCTAATTCAATTTTAAATTTAATAACAATACATCATTTTCTCAAAGAGTTTCTTTAAGTTAGTACAAAGTTATGTGGAAATAAAATGAGCAATATAAATAAGAAGAATAAAAGACAAAAATATAAAAAATGTGGCTAATAAATTTAAACAAAGATAAATTGAGAAAAAGAGATAACATAAAAAGAAAAATTAATAAAAATAATAATAATAATAATAATATAGTTTTAGATTGAATTCAAAAATAATGAGGCCTTTATTGGGTATTCTAAGCCCAAAACTGAGCCCATCAGTCTTTTCAAAGCAATAAAAAAGGTTAAAACTTGTTGCACTCACCGAGAATCGAACTCGGAACGTGCGGTTTAGAAATGAACCCCCTTACCAGTGAGCCATGCTCCTCTTTTGGATGTTGAGGGGGTTCATTTTAGTATCTATACGCTTAAAATCAGAAGTCTTCCTTATATATACAGTGTAATTTTTCGACGAGGGGTTCGGGTGAACCCCCTAAGATCAACATAGGTCCGCCCCTGGGGGGGAGGAGTGGTGGAGTGGGGTAAGAAAAATAATTAAAATTTTATTTTTCATAAAATTAACTTTTCTAGGGATAGTAATACTTTAATCTTTAATTTTGAATTAATATTAAAAGTTTATTATTTAATTTTTGTCAAGATGAAATATTTTATCCATGTGAAATTTCATGTGTCAAGTATTTTTCAAATAAAAGAGAGTGCATTACACACACCACTGAGGTGTGTTTCTCAAAGTAATAAGTGATAATTTAGATATGAAACTAAAAAAAGAGAGAATAGTTTAGGTGTGTTTTTGACTGTCAATTTTTATCAATGATAGTCTCACTTCTCTTTCTAACATGCGGAGAAAATGATTCAGCATAACCATTTACAATTTGAATTTTTGAAGAAAAAAAAAACTCATAGATCTTCTCTTTTGTATAAAATAAAATAAAATCTTTGAAAAATTTGTCACTAAATAAAAAAAATATATGTAATGAACCACAAAATGAATTGGAACACTATTTTCAATGAACGATGGACCAATATCATAGTCACTATTCCATTCAAATATTATTAACTTTCCATAATACATTGTTACATATATAGCACACATAGAAACATTCTACAACAAAGCAAATTAAACCCTAATTCCTAGAAAATGGCAAAACCTTCCTAGGAACATTTATTGGTACTCTTTTGCAAAAGAGTTTATTTGGACACATCAAAAAGAAAATTAAAATGGGAAATTGACTAATACTTACTCTAATTCTTCATGCATATTTTTATTTTATTGGATAGTTTGGTGCATAAACTATCCTGTATTAGCAGAGTTTTGAAATAGTTACTCCTAAAAAAATGTAACGTAAATAGGCTACTCTGATTTAACTTGACGTGAATCAGGAATCCCCATCATTCTATTAATACCCTCCATCATCTTCTCATGGTCCAAACTGTGAGGCTGATTCCCATCAAACTCATCAGGCATTTTCTCCCAATCTAGGGTTGGCTCCCACTCTGCCTCTTTGATTACCTTTGTGATTTTATGAAACACAATAGCACTTCCTTCTTTTGTTAAATGCAATCCATCCCTACACAAAAAAAAAAATAATCAAAAACCCCACCATTTATCATAAAAATTATTGTAAATTGATTGTTAAAAAGTAAGTATTTTAGGAAACATATGTGATAGTGTGTTATAGTCAGTTTGATCAAGCTTTCAAAATCTATTTATTTTGAAAAGTATTTTTTGAATTCTTTTTTAAAGACTAGCACAATTTATATTTGACTAATAAATTCGCGAAAAATTTTTGCTGGTTTGTGCTTGATCAAGGTTCGAAAAGTATTCTATATTTCCAACTTCTAAAACACAATTTCTGCTGCTACTCAAAATCACTTATCTATTCTCATAAAAGTTTGGTCAAAACACCTTAATTCTCTTATGTACTTTTAAATTTCGCAGTAACTTCACCAAAGTGACACTTATTTTGCGACTTATGTATAGCTGAATTTTCATTACCAGAAGACTGTATCCATCCAATCAGAAGGTTCCTGGAGGGCTGACCAAAAATCAATATACTTCAACCCTAATTCTTGGGCCAATTTGATACCAGCTTCTGAGTATATGCGACCTCTCTCATTTGTTCTACCTAGATTACTCCTGAAAACAACGAGCGTCGAATGAGCGGGTTGAGTTAAAACTTAGCAAGTCAAAATAGATTGAGCTAATAAATAAATAAATAGGTTATTGACCTATTTAAAATATTTGTCTTTTCTTGATATGTTAAAAGTGACAAGTAAAAGTAAAAATCTATTTTTGAAATAATAAACAAATAAAAGTGAACTGAGAAATATTACCCATAATATTCAATAATTTGTTTCTCGTTTACCGCAGGAGCGGTTAGCATAATTACACGTATGTTTTTTGAAAGGCCCTGCAAATTTTTGTTAGAAAAAAACAAATAAATCAAGTTGACATCACATTAATTAGCTTACAAATAATGATTTAAACTTAAAATGTAGTATTTTTATTACCTTGATATGAAGTATAATTTTTCTCATATTTTCAACATATTCATCAATAGGGACATTAGGGCTATTAGGAACATCAGGATCTGTTGAATCATTTCCACCAAAATAAAGTATAACTAGAGAAGGCTGAATTTTATCATTCTGCATGTGAATAAATCAAATTAGAGTTTCACAATTAAAAAAAAAGTTGAAGAAAAACAAATATCATAATAAATTATAAATCGACTAACAAATAAGGTCTAAACTATTTGTTTAGTTCTAATGAAGTAGTGGGATGCATGACGTCTATAAATCCACATTTGAATCAGAGATCTCAAATTAGATCCTTATAATTGAGAACCCCTTTTAGGGAACTATGTCCATTTGAGTTCTAAATAGTAAATAACGATTATAAATAAAGATTTATTTACCACGAATTAATGCGAAATTAATGTGTATTATAAGACAACCTTTTCCATCTCATTTTCATCGAATAACCGGTTCCCTGAAAAAATTTACGGTGAAAAACAAATTTCCTTTGAATTATTAAAAATAGTCAATGAACATTTCTTCTTTTCTCACTGATTAAATCAAAACTCTATGAAAATAACGAGATATTTTTCAATAGAAAAACAATGAAACATACATGCAATATTCCAAAATTAAGTTAAGTACCTGTGGAAAGACTTTGCTCAAAACTTGAAGAGCATTTCTTGAGGTCCAACCACCATATCCACGAACAAATATATCGGCCTATAATATAATATATTTATCAATCTTATGGCATATAGGAGTAATAGAAAACTCTTTATTAGTTTACGAGAAATTTACACTTTTATATAATACATCTGTAATTTTGCATGTACATTAAACGTCTAAAAAAATTAATTTCTTTTATTCCGTTTGTAAGCAGCCATAAATATCATCTCAACAAGTATTTCGTTTACAAGTGAATGGATGACGTCAATTTTTGAATAGTACTAGATAAGATAAACGTCTAAAAAATTAATTTCCTTTATTCAATTTGTAAGCAGCCATAAATATCATCTCAACAAGGGTTTCATTTACAAGTGAATGGATGACGTCAATTTTTGAATAGTACTAGATAAGATGTATAAGTAATATCGATATTAAGTGTACAAGCATTATTTTATTTAATACAGGCTACCAAATGATCATCCTTTGTAGTAAGTATTCAACTTGTAATAGTTTCATAATAATTTCAACTTTGAAATAAAGGTAAACTATCGAAGAAGAAGATCTATAAAATTTAAATTTAAAATTTATTTTTCACACGATAATAATACCTTACGAGCATAGAATCCAGTGAGGGCAGCACCCCAGCCATCAAAATGATAACTTAGCTGCACAATTGATGAACCAAATAGAACGAACAATGGACGATTTGGTCCTACCTTTGGCTCATTCATTTTGTTTTGTGTGTTTTTTTTCTTATAAGTAACAATTTTTGTTTTTTTGATGCTACAAGAATATGCATAGCACTTGTATTTATAATGGATAATGCCTACAAAAGAGGAGATCAATTAATTTCTTATAAAGCATACCAATAAAATATTATATCGTGCATCTTAGTGTTTTTGGCTCCACGCTGGAAATGATTTACTACGACATAAATATTTATATATAATTTATTCTCAATAAATATTTAAAATTGTTTTAGTTAACACTCTACTTAAATTTTACAATGTTAATAATATTTGTAGGTTATCTTAGAGAGATAGTGATAAAGTGTGTGTATATTATATCCTTTTCAGACTTCTGGGATTATCGAATTCGTCATTATTGTTGTTGTAATAATATTTGGAGATATTTATATTATACTAAATGAGATAATTTACTATCATACAAATAAATCTATATACATAACTTAAATTATTATAATTTATAAGAATCAACACCACTTAAAATTTTCAATGTTACTAATATTTGTAGGTATTCAATTTGCACTTAATGAGATTTTACTATCATACAAATACATTAATATAACTTATTTTAGATAAATAATTTACTACCAACAATGATTTACTATCACACAGATATATATAACTTCTTTTGAATTAATTTTAGATTATTTTAATCAATATCATTAAATATTTACAATTTTAATACTCCCTCCGTCCCAATTTATGTGGCACATTTCATTTTTCGAGAGTCAAACAGTTTATGTTTGACCGAGAATTTGCTCATGAAATTCTCAATTTTTTAAATAAAATTTATATATTTGTAAACTACATAAAAAGTATATAAGTCACAATAATTGACAATTTAAAATATTTAAAAAATATATGAAAAATAACGGTCAAAGATAGACTTATTTGAATCTCAAAAACTGAATGTGTCACATAAATTAGAACATAGAGAATAGTTATTTGTAAGTATTCATTTTACTCTTAATAAGATGATTTACCATATAAAAATATTAATGTAACTTATTTTAAATAAATTTAATTTTATTTCATTGAGACACGACTTAAAAGATAACTTCACAAATAAATATTAGACCCATAGCACGAAATCTTTCCCCTAGTTATATTCAAAATATTCTAATTTTTACTTATTAATAATTTTTGTCAGTGTTAACAGCTGGCCATGTGCCCATTTATGATTATTATATGACACCATGAGGAGTGCTTTTGAATAAAAATATTACTCTTATTAGTAATTCTTTTTTGTATGTTTTAAAAAAATGTTTTTTTTTAATAATTTTTAATTCTAATTTTCCACATGAGTATTTAAAATTATAAGATTAAAAAACATTTTGATATATTTTATATATTTTTAATTTAAAATTATAAGATTCAAATGAGCAAATCATAGTTCATAAACAAAATATCGAATAATTATAAGGTGCCAAATTGATAAATCTCATATGTCCAAATTTCTTGTATGAATAAATATTTGCGAGTACAAACTTTCAAATAAACATAATTTTACAAAGACCCACTATTCAACAATAGTTATAACTAGCTAGTTATCCTTTAATGTAATCATTAATCCATACAATACAAACAATTTCTTCATTCCAAATATGAGTACATGATATAAACTTATAATCAAATTTTATATTTTAAAAAATGAAAATCGCGATTTAAAATCCCAGAAACATCTAGCTCCATCCCTACAAGAGACGAGATTAATTAATTTCTTCCTCCATATATTCATACCAATAAAATAATATGTTGTGCATCGTCATGTTTTTGGTATTAGTTCACATTTGGTTACCAACTTATTATATATTATTATTATTATTATTATTATTATTATTATTATATACTAAAGATTAAATTTTAGTCAATCTCCACATCAATCTCTAGAAGTTTAAAATTAAATATGTTGGTCATTACTTAATACACCTTGCCATGTGCCCATTTATTATATTATGGCATCATGAGGAGGAGTGCTTTTTGAGAAGATTGTAGTTTTCTAAACCAAAAAACTATAACATATGGAAAATGAGAACTGGATAAATTATTGTTACATATGATGGATGGATAAGAATTAAGAACAGATAATTGCATCAATATCTCAAGCTTGTTCTAATATATATAATGGTCCGTTTGAATATGTGACATAAAATTATAATTTCAATATTTTTCTCAAGGTTTTTTGAAAAATTACATTGGGGTAGAAAAAGAAAAAATAAGAAAGGGACGGGTCTAATCTCATTTAAACTTGAGAAGGGAATATTTTCTAGTCACACTTATTTTATTAGTAAAATATAACTAGCCATAAATTTAGTCATTTTAAATTTATACAAATTAGTTTAATATCTTTTATAAGAAAAAATATAAAATGAATAATCATTTCAAGCTTATTTGAATTGAAGATCTTTCGAAAAGAGTTTTTCTACGCATAAAAATTATGCTGGACATATATTTCAATTAATTAGTCATAATGATAGTCTCACTTCTCCAACTAACATATGAGAGAAAATTCAACGTAAACATTTATAGTTTGAATTTATGTATTTATTTCTCTTTTAAAAAGTCAAAGATCATTTATGTTCAGATCTCTTATATATAAAATAGTTTCTCTTTATAAAACTTAACATTAAACAAAACACTATGTACCTAACCACAAATGAATTAAACCCCATTTTCAACGAACAATAACAATATATTTAATGTAATTTTACAAAGTGGAGTGTGAGGAAGGTAGAATGTATGTAGACCTCACCACTGCGGCACTGCTCCAGAGGTAGAGAGGTTATTTAGATACACCCTCAACTCAAGAAAAAAATAATTCAAAGCAATATAAAAAAATTTACTAAAATGAAGAAAATCAAAACAAAATACTATTAATCGTAATATTACTTTGATAATTGTTTGTTTTTAAGTTTGATTACAATCATTATTTCATTTGAATATTTATAAACTCACATAATACACTATATTCTTTACATAGCACACTCAAAAACATTGTACAAGAAAGCAAACCCTTCCCAATATAAGGCAAAACCTTCCTAGGAACATTTAATGGTATTGATCTTTTGCACACTAAATATGAAAATGGGAAATAAATGGGAAATTAACTAGTACTTAAGTATTAAAAAAAATGCTATTGCTATAAATAGTAAATATTTTTTTAGTATAGCATATTTATATAAGTTTCCCTTTTATTATTTATGCAAAGTAAGACTACATATAATAGGTTCTTGTGATCGGACTCTTCTCTGGACTCTGCATATAACAGAAGCTTTAGTGCACCGAACTGCCTTTTTTATCCTCTCCTTCACCAATATATATTGTCAAACTCATTAGGCATTTTGGTCCAATCTAGGCTTGGCTCCCACTCTGCCTTTGATATTACATCCTTGATTTTATTGAACACAATCTCACTTCCTTCTTTTGTTAAATGCATTCCATCCCTACACAAACAAAATTCAAACCCCCACCATTTATTCACAAATTCTTTGTAGTACAAAAAAAACTTATACCTACAATTATGTCACTTATTAGGTAATTAATTACATGTACTTCTCTTAATAAATACATATAATTTAATAATAATAACATGAGCTTTGCATTTTGAAGCGCCAATCTTATAGGACGATCAAATCAGGTCAAGTTAAAAAGACTTTGATAACTCAAGATTCGTATTAGAAAAAAACAGAGTGATGGGACGAGGGGTAGCCCTCAGCCCGATCATCACATGTTATCAGCTGTTTGACCAAGTTTTTAGAATGTGTTTTTTTCGATCGAAATACATAATTATGCATTGATTATACAGATATTATACATGAATTATATATATATATAATAACACCAAAATGAAAGAGTAGAAGTAGTATTAAATTTGATTTACCAGAAGACATTAGGGCGTTCATAAAGGGCTGACCAAAGATCGATAACCGGCACGCCTAATTGTTGGCCTAATTTAATACCAGCTTCTGAGTATATTTGACCTCTCTCATTTGTTCTTCCTCGATTATCCCTGTTCAAAACAAGGATTAATACTTTTAAATAATAGCTAATATTAAACATACGTAGAATGTATTAAAAAAATATGTCATGTTTAAAGTTGAAATTAAAGATTTGTTAAAAACAGAAAGACGTATCTTTTTAAAACAGATAGAAAGGAAAAGTATTGAAAACACCCCTAAACTTGACGCAAATTATTAGTTTCGTCTCCAAATTATTGACAGCCTTAAAAACACTACTAACTAAACTGCAACATGACATAGTAAGTGGTCTTAAATTCTTGTAAAAGCATGAGACTCTTAATAAAAAGTCTAGAGAAGTTCCGGTGAAAACACCCTAAAACTTACCAAGAATTTAGGGGTGTATTTCACTCATGATACAAGGTCAATGCTTATCTAAGTTCAGTTAGTCAAGTAAATAGGTATTTTTGAGCTGTCAATAGTTTATGGATGAAACTGAAATTCGCGTTCAGTTCAAGGGTGTTATTAATACTTCTTAGTTATAATACATAAATATGCTCTTTTAAAACTTCACTTCAGCTAACATTTATGTCCGCTAACTTTGGGTGTAAACAAATAAACACTCAAACTTGTACAAAATTGAACAAGTAGATATACACATTCTAGGTGTCATAATAAACGTAAAACGTCACGTAGGACACAAAATTGCTATGTAGAACATCATGTATGACGAATATGTATATTTGTTCAATTTAATAAAGTTAAAGTGCCTACTTATACACAATTAAAATTAGAAGGCATAGATGTCAATTAAGGGTAAGTATTATGTAAAAAAAAAAAATTAAAATAGAAAAAATATTAATTATAAAGTCCGTTAATTACCCGTAATATTCAACAAGTTGTTTCTCGTTCACTGCAGGAGCGCTTAGCATAATTAGACGAGTCTTTTCCGAAAGGCATTGCAAGTGTATGCATCAAAATGTTGTACAAAAAAGCAAAGTAAATTGTACGACAATTGGGGCAAAAATTAATTCCTACTTTTTTTTTTGCTTTAGTTAAAAGAG